TCAAGCAACTACTGTACAGGCACGTCCTTCTCCTTCTCGGTCTCCGTGCCTTCTGCTCGAGAGTGACCGCCCCCGAAAACGTAAATCAACGATGACTTCAATGACACTCAGAAAAGCAAAAATGTAATGCGCCAAACAGAAAAATCAAGAGAGGAAATCACAAAATAAATTCTTTGGGGTGCGGGGGGTTGTGAATACACAACAAAGGAACAAACTACACAAACAACTCCGAGACAGTCCAGTCTCCTACAAAAGGAAAGATGACGTTTGGGGACTATTTCCCCCCCCCAGTTCTAGTTGAGATGGTATAACCCAAGAGGTGCTTGCTACGTTACCAGCCATGTCTTGTGTCTTGTTATTAAACAAACACATGACAGAAGTCAGACAGAGCGCGAAAGCAAGGCATTCTCGCCGTACGTAATCAACTCTTCTCATGCGTAGCGAGGCTACTCCCCTCTCGCAAACGAGCATTTGCTCCGGAGCAAATTGTAGCGTTCACACGTACCATTTTACATTGGTGCTGCCCCGCAAACGAGCATTTGCTCTGGATCAAATTTTTGCTCCGGTGTAAGCTGTTTTCCGGGGCTACGCCGGAGCAAATTTGCATGTGTGAACGCTCTACTGGCGCAGCGCCGGTGTAGCACTGGAGCAAATCTTGCCGTGTGAACACCCCTATTATGTTGGCCTATATTTAAAACACAAGTACATGAAATTTTCAGTATTCTACCTTAATAGACAAGGAATGTTAGTCCACTACATAAATATTCTGGACATAATGTGAAACTAGTAAATATGAAAGGAAGAAATCTCACACAGCTTTAAGATCGATTTTTTTCCCAAATTACAGTTTCACCAATAGATGTCGCTCTTGCTCTATGAACCTCTCAAATATGTCGCCATAGTCGTTGCATATAAAACAACTTTATCTCGTCATCGCCCATATCTCCATCCATATTTATTAATTTTCATAGCATAATCAACGTGCACGTCACAACTTTTCCACAACAGCATTTTGGGTTGTTTTTGGTGAGCTTGAATAACGCAGTCAGCACGAGCATTTCTTGAGGTACAGCATGTTTTTGGTCAGGAACTAGGGAATGTAAGAGCGAGGAATGGACGGGCACCAAAGCTTGACTGACGAAAGGTCCGCACAGGAGATTAATCTGTTTTTGCGTAAATGAGGCTACATTATTTTTGTACTACATATAGTTATTAACATACATAAAAAGACTATATTAGAAATCCTATATACTGTTATTACTATAATTCCTATTAGTATGATTTTTTTTTTTTTTTTTTTTAACGAGCTTGATTTTTGCTTTTGTTTTTTTGATGCTCCCAGGCTGCTGGTACCCTACACGCAGTGCGTGATCAGTGTATGCCAATTGCCGTACCTGGGAAGGAGGGCCATTGATGTCCAGATTCAGTTGTGGATCATGCTGTTTGTGCCACGTCTCTGTCACGGCAATAAAACTGCGGTCAAACCAGCCTCCACACGCAAAGATGAAGTCAAGCCAGCCACCACACCAATTATAAATACTGTGTGTTATGGTAATATGCCGACAGCAACCGGAGTAGGCCACCTTAAAAATAAAAGCTATCCAACAAATGCATGCACGTCAGTGGTTTGGATTTTAAATCCATCCATCCATCCATCCATTTTCTGATCCAGGTATTTTCACAAGGGTTACGGGGCGTCCCGAAGCCTATCCCAGCCATCTGTGGGAGGAAACCGGAATATCCGGAGAAAACCCATGCAGGCACAGGAAGAACATGCAAACTCCACACAGGAAGGCCCGAGCCGGAATCGAACCCATGGTCTCTGCACTGTGAGGTCGACGTGCTAACCTCTGGAACACCGGGCCACCCTGGATTGAAAAAAATCTTATAAAATAACTATTCTGCGGTCAGGCAACCATTAGTTCACCCAGGGATAATGCAAACAGTCTCAGAATTGCACCAAAAAACATTCTGAAGTTGAGATAGAAACAGCAGCTAATGTTAACTATGCTCAATGACTAAAATTACACCAGATTTTAAAAATTTATTAAAAATTCAATTTTCATTATCCCGCGCCCACACAAGGCTACCCAAAAATTTCAACCAGAGTACAGTCAAACCTCGGTTTTCGAACGTGTCTGTTCTCGACCAAATCGGTTTTCGACTAAAAATTTCGAGTTTTTTTATCTCGGAAGACGACCGAATTTCGGTTCTCGAACAAACTGAGCGCACTTGAATGCGTCACTTGACTCCTCTCGCCTTCCTTACACGAGGAAGTGACGCTTCCTTGTGTAGCGTTCCATTGTGCACAGACGTGTTCAATAAAGATTTTTTTTTTAAAAAGAGCGTGGTTTCGGTTTTCGAACCCAGCCGCTGGGGGGCAGTGCCCTCCCCTGGGGGTGCACTGTTCCCCAGTGCCGGTCCCAAGCCCGGAGAAATGGGGAGGGTTGCGTCAGGAATGGCATCCGGCGTAAAACTTTTGCCAAGACGACCATGCGAGTTGGTAGGACGGTTTACAGGGGCGGATGGAGGTTGCTGACTCGCTGTGGCGACCCCTGAATAGGGACGTGCCGAAAGGAGAAGAAGAAGAGGTTTCGGTTTTCGAACAAATCGGTTTTCGAATAGCCTTCTGGAACGGATTATGGTTGAAAAACCGAGGTATGACTGTACTTTCATTAGGATCTGATGTTGCATTTTAAAATAAAAGTTCTCTGAAATCTGAAATTTTGACCTTTCAAACAGATTTGGTGTTGCATTAAAAATTTCATCCTGACGGCAGGGTGGACAACTTGTTCGCACATCTGCCTCACAATGCAGAGGTGTGGGGTTTGATCTGGCCTCGGGCCCCTGTGCGTATCAATATAGAGTTGTATTTTCGAAACTTTTATGCAAATTATTTAACTCTCCAAGTATGGTTGTTTTGCTAATGTACTTACGCAGATCAGACAGTAATGCTCAGACTGACCGGAAGAACAGTTTGATTTTGCTCCGGATTTTTCTATCCAAATATTGCGAGACAAAGGATATAGACTCAAAGTGGCTCCTAATTTTCCATTTGGATAAAAGACATAAAAGGCTCATGTAAAGACGGAAGTATAGTGGCTATTGCATACTCTCTTCATTTTATAATGCTTTATGGACTGACTGAAGTTATTGATATTGTGAAATCTGAGAGGAGAGCAGGTTGCCGACACAATCACATTTTCAGATCTAATTTTACAGCCATCAGCTACAAAGGTAAGTGGTTGCATTAACTTGCTTCCACCCTCCACCCTCAGCCCCTTTTAAAACTGACCTCATTTTTAGATATACCATCACTGAATTCTTCTTTACTGTATTCAAATGTGGTCAGTCCCCACACGGGACTATTAATGATACAAATTAGTGACCAATCTAATGCAAAGGGGTCGGGAACCTATGGCTCGCGAGCCAGGTGTGGCTCTTTGATGATTACATCTGGCTCGCAGATAAAACAAAATATTCTCACTTGTTTAATCCATCCATCAATTTTTCACTGCTCATGTCCTGTTCAGGGCTGCAGTTGGTGGCAGGAGCGATTTTAATTAGATGATACTGGCCTACGCTGGCCGTTGCTGTGGAAACAGTTAACGCCCCCTTTTGAATCAGCCCGCTCAGTCATTAGCTCAAAGCTAATCCTTCGACGAATAAGATGGCGAAAGAAAAAAAGATGCCAACACAATCTGGAGCTGAACACGCTCAAGACTGTTGAGATGATGGTGGACTTCAGGAAACATCCTTCGCTCCAGCTGCCCCTCACATTATTCAGCTGCCCTGTGTCAACTATCGAGACTCTCAAGTTCCTGGAACTCACGGTTCTCTGAGGACAAGAAGTGGGATGCGAACATCAAGTCCTTTCTGAAAAAGGCCCAGCAGAGGCTTCTGAGGAAACATGGCCTGCCACTGGAGCTGCTGAGACAGTTCCACACAGCCGTCATCGAATCAGTCCTGTGTTTCTCCATCACAGTTTGGTTTGGGGCCGCCAAAAAAAAGGACAAAATCTGCTTGCAACAGGCTGTTAAGACTGCGGGAAAAATCATTGGCACTGCCATACCCACTCTCGAGGACTTGCACACCGCAAGAACCAAGAAAAGGGCACAGAAAATCCTACTGGACCCCCGCACCTTGCCTACCTCTTCCAGCTACTCCCCTCAGACAACCATGCGCACCAAAACCAGCAGACTATTTCAACAGCTTCCTCCCTCTCGCCATTAACTCCCTAAACCATAACTCAAATATATAGAGGCCTTTTGCAATTTTGCACATGGAACAGTATTACCACAATGATCATTGTAGCTCCAGCTCTGTACATACTTGAACAATTGTCATTGATCAATATTCCACAGCAGTCCGCAGACCGGGCAGGTGCGGAGGAGTGGAGGAGCTCAGAGAAGTAATGTGGGGCGAGGCCATTTAAAGATTTGAAAACAAATAGTGGAATATTAAAAATAACTCTAAAATGTTGACGGAGCCAGTGAAGGGATGCCAGCGTAGGAGTTATGTGCTCCCTATTAGGAGTACTAGTCAAGAGGCGAGCAGCAACATTCAGGACCAACTGGAGATGCCTAATGGAGGATTGGCTGACTCCAAAGTAACGCGCATGACAATAATCCAGCCGAAATGTGACAAGAGCATAAATTACTGTTTCAAAGTGCTCTTGAAAAAGGAGAGGCTTTACTTTAGCCAGTGGCCTAATATGAAAGAAGCTAGATTGAACAACAACACCAATTTGCCGGTCCAAATGAGATTGTTGACTTAAAATAAGGAGCCATGTGTCCCAAGTCCGCTGGATGGGATGTACATGGGCCACTGTGATCAAACACCATTGGTTCTCTTTTCTTTTAATTGAAATTCAAGAAATTTATTGCCATCCAGGCCTTGATTTCCTCGAGACAGGATAAAAGTGGCCTAAATGAGAAAGCAACTTTTTTTGCTCAGCGGGACATAGATCTGACAGTCATCCGCATAGTAGTGGAAAGAAATACTGTTTCCTTAAGATGGAACCAAAATGGAGTAGATACAATGAAAACAGCAGAGCTGGAGCTGAACCCCTCGTCAAAGGAGGCGCAAATGGCAGTAATGCCGTGGTGTTATGGCAGAGCCAGCGACTGGTACTAGGCACGAGTCAACAGAGTCCAGGGTGCACCACGACGGAGTAATGGCAAATATACCACCATTTCTTGTCGAATTGAATTGTCTTATGCCACTCCGTTTGTGTGTTACAGATCAGCCGTCAACATGACCACCAAGAATGGACTTATAACTGATTCATTCAAGGTGGTGAAGAAGGCAAGAAAAGTGGCAAAGCGGGATGAGACGCTAGCTCCTCCACCACAGAGTCCGTATACTTTTCCTATTCGTCTGCTTTTTCCGTCAAGTTAAATGGCTGTTTTAGAATCTTTTAATAATATGTTAAATTTTTCAGAACTTAGTTCTCAAGAAATTTTGCAAACAGTGGTTCTTGTCATTTTGATGTCAAACTCCGGTGTTCAATTTGCGATGGCAGAACAAGTTGTTCTTAAATTCAGCAAAGCAAGACTTTACTAGTCTTTAGGTACAGGGGGAGACGGCACGGTGGTCGACTGGTTTGCACGTCCACCATACAGTGCAGAGGTGCAGGGTTCAAATCTGGCTCATGTTCTCCCACGTGCCTGCTTGGATTTTCTCCAGGTATGCTGGTTTCCTCCCTACATCCCCAAAACATGCATGACAGGTGAATGGAACACTCTAAATTGTGGTGTGTGTGGTGTGACTGTGAGTGCAGATGGTTATTCTTTGATGTGTGCCTTGTGATTGGCTGGCATCCAGTTCAGAGTGTTCGCCGCCTACAGCCCGTCTTTGATGTGTGCCTTGTGATTGGCTGGCATCCAGTTCAGAGTGTTCGCCGCCTACAGCCCGTCTTTGATGTGTGCCTTGTGATTGGCTGGCATCCAGTTCAGAGTGTTCGCCGCCTACAGCCCGATGTGGCTGGGAGCCTCGCACGGATAGACAGATTAGAAAATGGATGGACAGTCACGGGGATATAAATATTGGAAGGGCCATTTTGTGTACTCATATATACAGTAGGTCGTAGCTCTCAAACTGCCGGCCTGCGGGCCGCATAGTTTGAGGCCCCCGCAGTGATATGAAAGTTTAATGTTAGTGCAGCCCGCGGGAGTTTGATATGGATGCTGTATGTGTTAGCACTACCTCCTTGCTAAATAGTTAGGTCTGTCTCATTCAAAGGCTAACAGCTTCGGAGCACCTGGACTATAGCGGCCCAGCACCAGCTTGAATACATGTGTAAACCACAGATGTAAACAACCTGCCGCTGCTGCCTTCACTTGTACTGCTGAATACACGTTTAGACAGATAAACAACATGCCAGTGTAGCTGTCACCGGAGCCAGGTGCTCCGAAGCACCAGACCTGACGTAACACACGCACAAGAATGGGGAAAATGATTGATAAGACGCTACCACAGGGTTCCCACGGGTCCTTAAAGTTCATAAAAATGTCTACATGCCTTCCTGGTTCCCGCTCTGCTTTTCCCGCTGTCTCCGATCAGTTCCGATGATTATCACGTCATTACTTCGGGTCATTTCAGGCCAATTTTACATATAGTATGTCAAATAACAGGTTAGCTGATTGCCCCTAAAAATAAAGATGTGCCCTTCCTTTGGCAGCAATGATTTGAACACCAGCTCAATGATATGTGCCTGTCTGTTCATTAAATCCACAGTGAATACCCTGCTGAATGGAGAAAAAGTCCTTAAAAAATGGCTAAATTAGCCCTCAAAAGTCCAAAAAAGGCCCAGAAATAAAAAGCAAGTGGAAGAGTGGGAACCCTGTCCCATGGAGTTCGCACTATTACATACACACAAGCGAAGTTTTATGTGCATGTGTCCATGTTAGCGTTAGCTCCATGCTCGCCACTAACACTTTTCAAACTGTATAACATTTTTTTATTTATTTAATTTTATATGAAACGACCACCACGCACACTTTGTGTTTCCATGGTTTATGACCTTCCAACCAAACACTGTGCCATGCTCGACGTCATATGCAGATGCAGGACCCTGAGCCGATCCGGTACCAGCAGAAATTACGTTCTTTGTACGTCAGCTCAACACTAAAACTAACATTTAAATACGACAGTGATGCCTAGTAGAGGTGTCAAATTATCACGTTAATTGTGAATAATTCATTACAGTAATATTTAGTGTGCTATGTTTTTTAATCGCGTTAATCTAACTTTTAATTGCTGACTTTATTGTTTCTGTAGGTGGGTTGCCTTTTTCTAATATCTGTTTTTATGTGTTGGCTTCCTGTGTTCGAGTTGTTGAGGGTGGGGAAACAACTGTCAGTCACAGCCTGAAGCAGACATTGATTGGCTGTCATTACGTTTGGGCTTGTTTAGCATAAGATGATTGGCTCCCATTGGAGTTGGGCAGGCTAAGTAAGCAGCAGTGAGGAGTGGAGAGGTGAAAATGGAGGAGCATGTGAGAGTTCTCGGCACAATGAATGGACAATTTACATTCCAAAAACACCCTGACAGTACTATTGATAAAGGTAGAGTGTTGTGCCTAATTTGTAAGGAGTTTGCTTCCCACCGAAGCAGCTCAAGTTTAGCCTCCTACATCAATGCAAAACACCCAGTCGCGAGTGCAGCCACGGCTAATGTTAGCACCGAAAGCGTGAGCAATTGAGGGAGCCATAGCAAAGCTCTTCGCCAAACTAAACTCGAGGAGAACACCCCGCGTACGAGGCATGAAGTCAGCATAGCTGCTGAGTCCTGAGATTAAAATTTAGATTAACACGATAAAAAAACATGACACACTAAATATGATTGTAATTAATTATTCGCAATGAACACGATAATTTGACCTCTCTCTCTCTCTCTCTCTCTCTCTCTCTCTCTCTCATCCCACAACGCTGCCTGCTTATCCACTTTACGGATGACCGGGGGGGGGGGGGGGGGGGGGGGGGGGGCAGGTTTTCAGGTCAAGTCTGTCTAGTCAATAGCCTGACAGTAGTCGGCAGGAATGAGCGGCGGTACCTCTCCTTCTTGCAGCGTGGGTGAATCAGTCTCTGGCTGAAGGAGCTGCCCTGTGCTGTCAGGGTGGCCTGCAGGTGGTGGGAGGAGGTCATAGCTTTGAGCTTGGCTCGCATCCTCCTGTTGCCCACCTCCTCCAGAGTGTCCAGGGAGCAGCCCAGGACAGAGCTGGCCCCCCTGACCTGTCTGTCCAGTCTCTCTCTGTCCCGGGCTGAGATGCTGCCTGACCAGCAGACTATGCCATAATGAATGGCTGAGGCCGCCACAGAGTCAAAGGTCTTAAGGAGTGACCCCTGAACTTCAAAAGACCTCAGTTTTCTGAGCAGGAAGAGCTCTCCCCCTTCCTGATCAGAGTGTCAGTGTTGGTAGACCAGTCTGGTTTATTGTTGAGAAGAACACCCAGGTACTTGTAGGAGGTCACCCTCTCTATGTCCGTACCCTGGATGTTCATCAGTGCAGGTGAAGACAGTTTCCTGCAGAAATCCACAACCAACTCCTTAGTTTTCCTGGGGTTGATCTGGACGTGGTTCTGCAGGCACCAGTCCAGTCCGCTGTCAGTCCCCTGTACTCCCGATCATCTCCGTCCGTAATGAGGCCGACGATCGCGGAGTCATCAGAGAACTTCTGAACTTCTGAGGTGCAGAGAGTAAACAGGAATGGAGCCAGGACAGTCCCCTGCGGCACCCCAGTGCTGCAGAGAAGCCTGTCCGACTCACAGCCCTGTGCCCTCACGTATTGTGGACGGTTTGTGAGATAATCTGTAATCCATGATATGAGGTGGTGGTCCACTCCGGTGTGCTGCAGCTTGCCCCCCAGCAGGTTGGGCTGGATGGTGTTGAAGGCACTGGAGAAATCAAAGAACGTGATCCTCACAGTGCTCCCAGCTTTCTCCAGGTGTGACAATGCAGAATGGAGGAGAGAGATGATGGCGTCCTCCACGCCGATGCCGGGCTGGTAGGCAAACTGCAGCAGGTCCAGTGACGAGCTCACCAGCGGTCGGAGGTAGGCGGGGGCGAATCTCTCTAGCGTCTTCATCAGGTGAGACGTCAGCGCCCCCGGTCTGTAGCTGTTGAGTTCCTTCGGGGGGTCTTAGGCACTGGGACCAGGCACGATGTTTTCTACAGCCGTGGAACTCTGCCCAGCTTCAGGCTCAGGTTGAACATGTGCTGGACAATTTTACACAGCTGGTTGGAGCAGGTCCTGAAGAGCCGGGAGCTGATGTTGTCCGGACCTGCTGCCTTCCTCACCTTCATCTTCCTCAGTAGGTTCCTCACCTGCTCTGTAGTGACAGACAGGCAGGAGCCAGGAGGAGGAGACAGACTGGGGGTTGAAGATGAGGGGGCTTGGCTGAGAGGGCAGTTGCTCGGTGTTGGAAGCTAGTCATGTGAGGAGGAGAGCACCAGATGTCTGGTCAAACCAATTGAAAAAAACGGTTTTGCTCGTCTGCCCAATCCTTGTCCCTCACAGTCTCCATGTTTGGGCTTTTGTGGCCTGAAATTCTTTTCAGGCCTTTCCATTTTAACCCTTTAGGCCTCTTTCATCTCTCTGATCTTTCTCCTCAGCTGGATCTGCACATCCTTCAGCTCCTCTCTGTTTCTCGACATGAGTAATCCACGGTTTGTTGTTGGAAAAACACCGCAAAGTCCTGCTGGGTACGGTGTTCTCCTCACAAAAGTTTATGTCGTCCGTGATTGTGTTGGTGAGTGAATCAATGTTCTCCCATGAACCTCACTGAAGACGTCCCACCTGGTTGAGTCGAAGCAGTCCTTCAGAGCCTCTTCAGCCACCATGGTCCACCTTCTGACCATGCAGGTCATAGCTGGCTGCCTGTGTACAAGGGGTTTGTACACAGGCTGGAGATGCACCATGTTGTGGTACGCTCTTCCAAGAGGGGGCAGGGGGTGGGGTGTATATGCCTCCTTGGTGTTGGCATAAAACAAGTCGAAACTTTTATTGTCTCTGGTGGCACAGGTCACATACTGAGTGAAGGTAGGGAGTGAGGATGATAGAGAGACGTGGTTAAAGTCCCCCGAGATGATCAGAAGGGCGTTGAGGCTCTGTGTTTGCAGCCTGTTCACTACCGACATCAAAGCATCACATGCTGCATCGCCATTAGATGACGGGGGAACGTACACAGACAGTCACAGCTATAATTAGCTGACGGGTGAACGTACACAGACGGTCACAGCTATAACGTGTGAAAATTCCCTCGGGAGGTAGTGCGGCTTGAGGCTAATGGCTAGCAGCTCAATGTCCAGGCTGCAGAGTTGCTCCCTGATAGTGATGTGCCCAGGGTTACACCATCCATCGTTCACAAACACAACCAGTCCCCCTCCTTTCCTCTTACCACTCCCTGCCATCTTGTCTGCACGTACAAGTTGGAAGCCTTCCAACTCGGCGTGTGTGTCCGGAGTAACTGCTTTCAGCCATGACTCCGTGAATAGCAGCAGGGTAGACTCGCGGTACGCCCTCTAATGCCGGGTTAGCACAGCTAGCTCGTCCATCTTGTTCGGGAGCGATCTTACGTTCCCCATGATGATGGAAGGGAGGACATGTCTATATCTTCTCCTCCTTCTTAGCCGCTCCTTCCCGGCCCGACAGCCCTGTTTCCTCCTCTTCAACTCACGGGGAATGTCTGGTTTGCCGCCGGCCAGTAGCGCGCTGTTAGCCCGCTAAGCTAACAGCTGGTCCCTACTGTAAACAATCAGGTCACGCAAGCGAGCGGGTTGTCTGAACACAGTAAACGTAAAAAGATAAAAGAAAATAATGGAGATGAGAAGAAATGAAGATGCCCATCTCCTCCCCAATGTATACTGTTTATGAGTTCACAATCAGAATGGCCCTCCGAGGGAAAATGATGTGGCCCACAACAAAAATGAGTTTGTCATCTCTGCTGTCAGTGTTCAAAAAGGAGTGGCCAGGGAGTTCGTTCTGCATTCGGTATGAATATGACCTTGTTATGCTTGAATTCTTTCAGAATTTTCTGTACTGTATATTGAACAGATGCTGAAACTTCAATACGTCAACATGAAGAGCAACAGAAACTGATACAGTTTGACCTGGACTGGAGATTTGGGCCTAGTACAGGTAACCCTGTAATATTTATTCATGCCTTGGAATGCGTATTCATCAAAATATTGCAGACAAATGTCCCATGAAGTGGTCACAGACTAGCGGGTCAGAAAAGGTAAAAAGGTGCAGTGTAAAGCCCTCATTAAATAATGTGTAATTCTTAAATGAACAGATTATTGAGTTTAATGGAAGGCTTCTAGCTTTATGCTCGAGTCAAGATGGCTGCTGCTGCATCAATCTGCAGTCTGCTGGCTCAACTATTTCTTCCGATGGTGATCAAATGAATTATCTCCACACAAATATTTGCTGCACTCTTATGGAACACCTGTGGTAAATTAAACGCTAATTTTATATGTTTGTAGTTAGAGAGCAGAGACTCAATCTCTTCACATTGAGTGGAAGAATTTGCTGTTCCCACAACAGCTGTTGAGCAAATTACTCGTTAAACTGTCTTGGACATGGACGCACCAAATGAAACTCGACATGATTTCATATTTGGACATCAACTGAACCAACTTGGAGCTAGTCTGAGGAAAAATAGATCTCTCACTTACCATATGCTTGGAGAATAGGTCATTGATCTTGAGTGGAGAGTTGGCTCAACTGAGGATGGCATCCCAGACTTGGTCAGACAAGTAAAAGCACTCAAATTTAAAGTACCACATAAAACACTTGATAACTCAGGAGCTCAAATCACAGCCAATACTTCAAATAATTTCTGCAATCTCATTACAGGTACCACAAACTAAATAACCATTAAATACAAGATTAATTAAACAAGAACTAAATTAATAATATAGAATTGAAGATCATGGGAGGCACTCTCATCTTTCAAAAATCGAAAACAGACTGCAAACAAGATGTGCGTCCCCGCGCAGATTCAGGCTACACCACCTGGACCCAACAGGGAGTAAAAGAGTGCTAATCAACTTAAATAACAAGACAGTCGGAGGGCGACACGCTTTGGCAGCCACTAGTCACTGCCTTACATCATGAAGACAAAAGAGAAGACATTTCATGGATGATAACATTGCAAAAGTGGCAAGTGCAGTTACCAAGAAGGTGTACAAAATCGTGCCCACGCTGGCAGTTTCGAAAAATTACAAAACTAGTATGTGTGATAGTTATCTTGCATCAAAAAAAAGAGATAATGAATGATTAATAAATGACACCGCAACGAGACAGCGTAATTTAACTGAAAAATGTTCTCTCATTCAACAGAGGTCAAGGATCATTCATTCATTCTGTAGTAAAATACACATTTACCACTTTTAAATGGTCTGTCATGTTGTGTGCAATGTCCCGTATTTTTTTTTTCATGGTGCTGTCTTTTATGCATGTTCATGTGGGATGTCCACATGAACCGATGCTCGCACATGAGAAAGTATGTTCCTCCGTATAACTTCTCATGTTGCACTGGCAAAAAGAATGAGCTGGTACCACCCCTGAGGAAGGATGAAACGAAAGACTCATTGAGTAAACCACTCTCGAAAACACTCAGGATGTAAAAAAACAAAAATGTTGCATCCTGATTTGCTAAGCATTCTTTTTTTTTTTTTTTTTTTTTTTAATGATCATACATGTTTCCTGCCCTAGGTATCAGCAGGCTTCAAAGATGGGACCGGGCAAAACTTCATGGTTTGAATCCACCGGAGGACATCAGAGAACTGCTGCTCTTAAAACAAAATAATCAAGAGTACAAGCTGAGGTGAAATATATTTATGCAATTGTGTGCCCTGCGAAACACTTGGAACATGAGCAGAGTGTTATTAATATTGTGATTATTATTATTGTTACTTTAAGAGCATGTAAAAGACCGGAGGTGGGCGTGTGTACATTTTGCTGTCATTTGTCATTCGTCAGCGACCTGCACACCTATCCATCATCGTCAGTCCGTCTATATTTCAAGCCAAACAATCCTGTAATCATCAGTCCGTCAAATTTATTTTACCTCCACTTCCATCAGTTTAAAAAAATGAAATAAACACACACCGTAGTCCAACAGACGAAATATCCAATAGATCACGTGTCAAAGTCAAGGCCCGGGGGCCAAATCCGGCCTGCCACGTCATTTTATGTGGCCCACGAAAACAAATCATCTGTGTCAATTTCCATGATCCTTGATTGAATCTGTACTGAAATCTCGAATTGTCATTCGTAGTAAATAACGGTGACATTTTGCAATCATTTTGTTCCCCTCTTGATATTCATTTGAGCAATAATTCAGTGATGGCAATTTTCCGCGGATATGCGGAAATCCGCCATTTTATTTCTTAAATTGATCATTTTTGTGAATCCTCTAAATCCGTTGAGAAAATTTTCGAGGGGGTCAGGTACCTTATCGTCGAGTTTTCACGAGCTCTCCCGATCAGTCTTTCCATCTTCCGATTGTAAACAGCCCTGCGATTGGACGTGTATGATGTCTTACTTGTTGTGATTGGTCGCTATATCGGCAAATGCAAATCACAACCAATCCGTGTTCGCCTTCCTAAAGCCCTTTCTCGCGAATGCCGAATGTTATTGAGACTCGCGACGAAGCTAAAGTGCATCAGATAGATGCGGATCTGAAAAACACGTTTCGATGGGACTGGTTGGATAGAAAGCTGACGGTGTCCCCAGTAGGAAACAGTAAAGAGGAACCATTGTGCTTGTGTCGGATTTCATGAAAAAGCTCGATGTCGCCGTTAAAGCTCCGTGTACA